TAACCTTAACATTTCATTTTAAGATTTAACATTTTGCAGATGGACTAAAGCAAAACATTTTAACAATTCTGTAAATCTTTTAGAGCTCATAATTTGTTTACAAAATATAACATTACACATTAATGAATAAATGAGTATATATAAAATAATTTTAAGTGTCATGTTTGTGATTTTTTTTTTCATGTAAGCTATAGCTTCAGACCTTTAAATAAAAACATACTCATGATTTTATGACATCAGTTACTGCTTTATTTAATCAGAAACACAGTCTAAATGTTATTTGGTTATTTTACTTTCATTTTAATAGAAGTAGGACAACAGCGCCCCCTACAGATTAAAACTCGTTACTGAGCGGCATTAGGACCCAGAGGAGGCTGCTGCTGCACATGCCATCACGGTTTACTCTAACACACACCATAACTGTCATTCTGTAGTGCTTCACAGATTAAATGCAGCATCCAAAGCAGTGAATCTAACTAGCATTCAGACATACCTTGCTTCAAGAATGAGCCACACTGCTGACCTGATCTAATCGCTAGCACACCCTGAGCACATGTGAGTTAACGCATTCCTCTTATCGGCAAGACATATCGGCATAATTTTTCGTATCGGGCCGACACCGATATTTATATTTAAAGTCATTATCGGCCGATATCAGTCCGATAATATCGTGAATCCCTAATCATGTTTTTATTGTGTTAGTTAGCTGTCTCTTTTTGTTATTTTTACTTAATCAAAATAACTTAACTGTAGTTTGATTGAGATTAATTGGAATGCACAATGAAAAAACATGATTTTTGAAAATAGTTAAAAACTGAGTTATCTGTTTTTGCAAATGAACTCATATATGTGTGTGTGTGTGTGTGTGTGTGTGTGTGTGTGTATGCGTTTGAAAAAATAAATATGAAAAAATGTAAATGTAAAAAATATTAGATACAAAAATAAATAAATAAATATATATACATGCATATACACACACACACACACACACACACACACACAAATAAAAAAATATTGCATCGTGAACTGTTTAACAAAAGTTCAACAAAAAAAAAAGTTTACAAAATAGATAAATTAAAAGTAGATTAAAATAGATTGATTAAATATATGATACACATTTAAATCATAAAATAAATATTATTTGGATTTTCTTGAACAGTAAACACACTTCAACAAAAAAGTAAAATTAAAAAAAAAAAAAAACACATAAATATGCATATACACACAAATAACTTAAAGTAAATATGAAAATATGACGTGGATCTTTAACTTAAAAACAATTAAACAAAAACTGTAAAAAAAAAGACATTTAAATATAAAACACAGAAATTTAAATAAATAACACAACAATAACAACAAGCATGTGAAAAATCAGAATTTTCTGGAATGTTAAGTACAATTGAAACGAATGAAAGTAATGTGGTAAATGATGCGTCTCTCACCCGCTCCACGAGGATGGCGTCGTGCAGCGTCCCGCCGGCCTGCTCCTCCACAACAAAGCCCTTCATGTTGAGCGGTTCGCTCATCTCGGCCTGATCTCACACACACACACACACACACACACACACACACGCACACAAA